GTGTGTGTGTGTGTGTGTGTGTGTGTGTGTGTGTGTGTGTGTGTGTGTGTTGGTGGGGCTGTGGTGAGTGGAGTGGGGAGGGAAGGGAAAGGGCAGGGAGGCTGAAACAAGAGAACAGAATCCCTGCTCTGCAAAACCAAAGTGGGAGCACAAGTGCTGAGCAGACATTTCCTTTGCCTCTAAAAAGCCCCTGGACTCCAGAGAAGCACTTTCTTACCAGATCTCCCTCTGCCCTACAGAATTCAGCTATTTTTTCATGTGTCTACTTTCCCGCAACTAGGGCTATCAGGGCACGAATTCCCTACTCCATCCCCAAAAGTGTTAGGCACTTTGTTTGCAGTACCCCAGGGAGTCCAAATACCATCATCTACTCAACCCTTGGCATATGGAGTCTGGGAACCTATAATCATCCATCTATTTGGAGATGGAAGGGACTTCTGAGGTCATCTAGTTCAACTCTCTCATTTCACAGTTGAAGAAACTGAAGCCTAGGATTTGAACTCAGCTCCCCTGCTTTCCTATCCAGCATTCTTTCACTGTACCCACTAGAGATTTAGAACAACAACAACAATAGTTCCAATATTATCTCAATTGATCCTCACAACAATTCTTGATTCTGTGGGAATAAACATTATTATGCCGTTTTACAGATGAGAAAACTGAGATTCAGACAGATTAATTGACTTGCCTAGCTAGTATAAGTGTAAGAGGGAAAGTCTGAACTGAGGTACCTTTTCTCACTCAAAATCTAATGTTATTTCCCATTACACCATGCTTGTTGCCCCTAAACCTCTGGACTTGCCTCAGTTTCCTTTAGCACTGACTGTAACCCTTCTCGGAAAACTCTCTTTGTCTAATGAAAACCCTTCTGAACCAGATGGCCCTTCCTGCTTTAAGATGCTATGTTCCTGTGAGCCTTCTGCCCTTCATCTTCAACCACTTGAAGCCCAGGGTACAAAATTGGGGATTGAAGGATGTGGGACAGTGGTGAAAGCTAAATGCTCAGTTGTCCCCAAGCCTTGGGAACCAAGGCGATACCTCCCTGCTTTGGCCAGTCTGATATCTATGAAGTGCTTTGGCCAGACCTCCAAGAGCCCTGGAGGCACAGGGGAGGGTTCCCTCCTTGCAACAGTGGAAAATCAGTCTGGGGCCAGGAGGACTGGGCAAAGAGGCTGGGGATTGGTGCCAGCCCTGCCTGGTGAGAGCATCAGGGTTGAGGAAGCAAAGGCATGAGGATAGATGGGGAGGGCTTTAAATAGGACAAGACTCAGTGCCATGAATGTCCTAAACTCCAAAACTAACACCAGGAGTTGGAAATACTGTGAGACAAGTGGTAGAAGGGAGAGAGAAGGGTCTGGATGGGGCTCCCAGCCTTGGAGATAGGGTATCCATTGCAGCTATCTGATCATGCAGCTTTTTGGTTAGTGGAAAGGGTTGCTGGTCCTCAGAAGTCCTGTAATGCCCCTTGTCTGGATTCTGCGTCCTCCCCTCAAGCCTAAGCTCCCTCTGCTCCCCCTCCGTGCAAGAGCAAAATGTGGGCAGCTCACCCATGTAGGAGGGTTTTGACATTTCCATGTCTCCAAAAAGTCTGAGGCCTCTGGCAACGTTAGCTTGGGAATACGAAACAGCAGCTAGATTAGAGGGTTGCCAAGAAGATAGTCAGGCCCAGGACATGAGCCTTCAGACCCAGACAAAATCTACACCAAGTAACAGAGAAAATCTCAAATGTATGTGAATATCGTGGTTCCCCTTCCTATCACCACCGAGTAGTTCCTAGGTTTTGCATTCAAAAGCCCTGGACATTTGGGCACAAAGTCTGTTTACCTCCTTGTCCTTCCTCCCAACTCCATGCCCTCTGGCATTACCAGAAGGTAGTGGTAAGAAATTATTCTGATCTCAAAGCCAATAAGGGGTGGGAATAGAGGGTGGAAAAGCCATACTCCACAACTAAGGGCTCTGAGAAAAAAAAGAAGGTGGAAATCAGGGGACCAGATTCAAATAACCACTGTTGGGGCAGCCAGGTGGTGCAGTGGATAGAGCACAAGCCCTGGAGTCAGGAGGACCTGAGTACAAATCCGGCCTCAGACACACAACACTTACTAGCTGTGTGATCCTGGGCAAGTCACTTAACCCCATTGCCTAGCAAAACAAAACAAATAACCACTGTCTCTCTTTCCCTTCAGTTCTCTGATGGTGCTTTCTTGGGTGTGACCACCCTAAAACATGTCCACCTGGAGAACAACCGGTTGAGCCAGCTGCCCTCTAATTTCCCTTTTGATGGTTTGGAGACACTGACCCTGAACAACAATCCTTGGAAGTGTACCTGCCAGCTCCATGGCCTTCGAAGGTGAAGCTTGCGCCTAAATACTAGGGATTAGATGAGACCCTGCCTCCACTTCCTGGCCTGGGGAGTAGGCATGAAATTCCTGCCCTGGTTCCGGGGAAGATGGGATGGAAACAAGGGAAACTGACTCCTCTCCCTTGACCCTCAGAAGGAGAAAAGTAGATTAGAGGGGAAACTTTGCCTTCAGGAGTAGATCTTCCCACTCATTTGCTCTCTTTGGTCCCTAGAGCAGAAAACTGACTCTCCCCTCCCCTATTCCTACACATACAAGGTCCAAGTAGGTATGTACTAGCATCTTGAAACACTCCTGCAGGCCAGCACCCTCTAGTTCTGGCCCCTATCAACTCTCTCTGCCCTGCCAGGTGGCTGGAGGCCAAGGCTTCACGCCCTGATGCAACATGTGCATCTCCCACTAAGTTCCGAGGTCAGCACATCCGGGAGACGGCAGCTTTCCGAGGCTGCAAATTCCCCACCAAGAGATCTAAGAAAAACAGCCGCCATTAAACAGGTAATAAAGCATTGGGAGGGAGTGGAGCTGGGCATGGGTTAGTGAGAAGGCCCTCTCTCTCATTCACTTCTAACATTGGACAGCAGGGCCTGAAGGGGTTGGAGGAGCTGGGTCCAGGGGGAGAGGAGAGAATGGGAAATGTAACCCAAGATACCAAAGGGTGACTGGCCCATTGGACAAAGGGATTAGCTCAAGGATAGGTAACCCTCTCTCTCTAGGGCGAAGGGAGGGTCCATCCTTGGGGAGGTCTCTCTGGGGAGGGTTCCACTTCTGACACAGTTCTCTGAGGACTCCCCATTTTTTGTCTCACTCTCTATCCTGGGTCCCTGTTTACTTTGATCCTAGCTCCTTATCCCTCATCAGGTTCTGATCTAGCCAGTGCCAGTGACCAGCCTCTTTGCACTGATTCCTCTCTCTACTCCCAGTCAACTCCATCCTCTCCTCCTACCCCCTATACTGATAGAGACTATCTATCCCCGGATACTTAGGTGGGATGGTCTGCTGGGCCAGAGAGTTCTTCAACAACCATCAGTTCCACCCTCCATCCCAGAATTTCCCTGATAGAGAGATAGTCCAAGGTCAGGATGACCTGCCCATACACTTATCACCTTCCTTCCCTTATCATTTGTCCTCTGAAATTAGAAAGCAGAAATCCTATTTCTCCCCACTCACACCCCACCCAAAGGGTTCACCCTTAATTCTTTACAGCCCTACCATGGAGAGAGAGCCTCTTCCCCCTTGGCCCTGCCCTCGGGAATCTCCAGCAGGACACCTGTGCTTTGCTGACCTGGCCCTCCCTATGTTATATTTCTCTCCCTTCTAGATTTATATAAATATATATGTATAATATTTCTTTATCTCTCACCTGTGTCAGTGACTTTCCCATCCTCTGAAGAGAGCAAATTGTATTTTTCCTTATGTCTGTTTTCCAGTTCAAGCATTGGATATGAAGACATAGCCCATCTTCCCCTTATCTCCCTGGTTGCTACCCCACCCTCCAGCCACTACCCTCTGCAGGTCTGCCCTCAGCCCTGGTCTAGCCACCCACTCACCCACCTACAAAGTCCATATTGAAGATTCCAGAACCCAAGGGATCTCATCCCTGCCTGGAAAAGCTCACCGTCAGTTCTGGCATATTCATCTTCTTGATGATGGCTCTGATGAGCTCTGGAGGGGCTGGGGCCCCTGCAATCACACCTAAATCAGACAGTACTCACTTTCAACTCAGCCCCTCCTCTTCCCTCCACCCACTCCCCCATCACATCCTGCACCTGTCTATCATCCATAATATCCTACATACCACCCTTTGGGCTATTACTGGACTGGATTCCAGGGAAGGAAGGGACCCAGGACCCTTCCCCACATTTGTGCACCATCCACTTCCCAGGGTTGGGGGAAAAGAGTTTCAGGGTAATAGTTATTTCCCCCACTATCCCTCCCTCCCTGAAGCAAGAAGGATAAGGCAATCCCAACCCCTGCACCCTCCAACCCTTGGCCCCCACCCCCAACCTCCTTGCAGGGTCGAAAGGTCATAGCAGGAAAAATCAGGTTGGTTCAGCATGTCAACAAACATCGTGGGGGTGCCATAGATCATTGTGGCCCTGTATAGGGGGATGACCTTAGAATCAGGCCTGAAAGTTGGGGTACCCTCCCCTTCATTTTCCATATCCCTCTCTCTAGCTCCCTAAAATGACCAGAAATATACAGAACCCCCAGTGCCAAAGCTGTTTGTTAAGAGGGAAAAAGGGTCACTATGTCTGTCTACGGGTGAAGGATAGGGAATATTGGATGCCCAAGGTTGGATCTCTCTTTAAGTCCCCTCCCACATCAAGCCTGGGCCCCTTGGTGAAGAAGGAAATCCCAGGGAAGACAGGGCAGGAATTAGCTGGTATAAGGAGTCAGAGAGACTCCAGTAAATAGGTCCCGTAGGACAGGAGACCAGATCTGCTCTAAGGATGGGTCATGGGGTAGGAAATGGAGGGACATGGCCTCAGATGCCCACCTCTCTTGAGTGATAGCTTCCAGCGCCCTCTTGCTCTCAAAACTCGGAGATGACAAGATGAGAGTGACACCATACACTAAGGACACCATCGTGCCCCCCACAGAGCCCAGGCAATGGTAGAGGGGGCTAGGAAGGACCAGCCGGGGCTCCTGGAGTCCCAGATAGACAGAAGAGTGAGGTTAGGCCCCGGAGCCCAGGACTAGGACTAAACACCTAGAAACTTCTCGCTTTTGTTAGAAGTTGGAGTTCAGGCCACTGCTTAATTCCATCATATGGTCATAGGTATGAGAGCTAGAAGGGACCATAGGGGTAATTTACTCCAACCCAGATGAGCAAATTGAGGCTTAGGTAGATTAAGTGACTTGGACACAAGCAATAGCGTTGAGATCTGAACCCAGGACCCCTGACTCCAAAGCCAGTATTCTCTGTAACCTGTTCCATCGACCTCCTCACCTTTCCTCCTCCTAATCACCCCAAATATTGCTTTTGGGCCTCCACTACCAGAGACTAAAAAGCTCCCTCATCTCTTCTCCATTCCCCTCTCCTTTCCCAATCTTTACCTTGTTGAGAAGATTCATCCGATCCCCTATCAAGGCGGCATTGTTAACAATGTTGTAGTGAGAAAGGGTGGCTCCTTTAGGGCTGCCGGTTGTCCCCTGGCAATACAAAGGTCTTGTCAGCCTGGGTATCTCAGAGATGAGGAAGGATTTTCCCAGAATGGTACCCCCATGCCACACACAGGGCTTCCCCAGAAGGCAATAGAGTGGGTGTGCATTTCAGAGGAAGAGCGGCACCGTCTACATCCTATGTGGGGAGGGTGGGTAAGAGTAGAAGTGATCCAAGCCCCAAGACATTTTTCCTGGTTGCCTAGCAAGGGGGCAATGCCCACTACCTGATTCCTTGATCTCCTGGTCCCCAGGAAAGTGCTCCTAAGCAAATACCATATGCCTGGGACTGGGAGGCACTGTGCTTGTGGCCTCCAAACCTTTAACCTACCGAGGTGAACTGGATGTTGATGGGGTCATGGCAGGACAATGATCTCTGGATGTCCCTCAGCTGGGCCAGCTGGGCAACTTTCCCAGCCTGTAGTACATCATTCATGTGTAGAGCTCCAGGCAATTTGGAGTCCAGGATGATGACTGTGGTCAGGTCTGGAAGACTGAGCCAGGGGAGGGTAAGGGAGGAGCAGTGAAATTCTGGTGATCTTGGTGGGGGGGCACAAAAGACTCACCAGCCCCATTCCTTGTGGGATGAAAGGCTCAGTAGGAATGGGATTGACTTGCCTTGGAGCCTGGGATCAGTGTTAGGGACCAACAAATTTCCCATCCTCTCTCCCACCCAACCCCATCCTTTCCATCTCCTATTCTACACCTACTTCTTACTCCTTAATGCCCCTGGGCTGCACGTCTCCAGCTCTGGGCAGATCTCCTTCAGAATATTATAATAATCCTGTGTCTTGAACTTGGCAGGGAAGACAAGGGCTTTGCAGCCCACCTGAGGAGGTAAAATCCCATATCCACATCATGCTGAGTCCCTGGGAAACCCTAGGTTTGGAACCAGGGTTACCCATTGGTAGAGGGCATCCTTAAAGGGTATTCTATAGGTATAACTTCCTCATAAACCCTTCCCCTATACCATAAGCAACCTCCATGCCCCTAGTCAGCTGCCACCCAGTCAAGTCTTACTCCTACCCCACAGGGCTACCCAAGTGGTTCAATCCTGTTTTTCACCTCCCAACCCTTCAGGAGAGGCTCACAGAATGCAGGATGGGAATTAATTTTAATGATCATCTATTCTAATCCCTTCACTTTACATAAGTAACTGAGGCCCATGGGGCGCAAGTAACTTGCCTAAGGTCTCCCAGGGAATAAACAACAAAGATTCAAAACCAGGCCTTTTGACTTCCAGTCCTTTCCACTCCAAACTGTGACTGCTTCCTTGAGACTGGATTCCCCACTCCCACTTTCTACTTACCAGACTAGAAAGAGGGTACCTGCTACTCCTTCCAAATTATTCCATGAGGTCTGAAGGCAGCAATGGACTTAGGGCACAGCTTTTCCCCATGAGACACTGGCACCAGCTGAGATACGCAGCCCCTCTGCTTCAGGGGCAGGGATCATAGCCAGAGAGCCTTCCTCTGTACCTATCCTTGCCCCCTTCTCATTCCCAGGGAGCTCCCCCCACCATCATCCCCAAGGGTCTTGTACCTTTTTGAGAACAAACTTTAGCTCTTGGGACTTGTAGGCAGGGTTCACAGAAATCTGGTGAGAAGACAACCCAGAAGTGTTATCCATTGTACCAGGTACAAAGGCTGCCTGCCCCCAGCCTTCCCCAAGCAAAGACACAAAGCTCACTCTCTGTGGTGCTCAGGAAGGGAATTTCATCCTTTCCTTCCCCTCCTGTGCTCCCAGAGAGAGCACCTGGATCTCCAAGATATGAACCCTTTTGTGTTTAAGTGGCTAGACCCAGAACAAAGTCTGAGACCTGTAGCCACAGGTGAAGTCTCATACGCAACAATGTAATCGCATGATCACATAATGTTAGAGCTCGAAGGAACCCGAGAGAGTATCTAGTCCAACTGCCTCACTTCAGAGAAGAGAAGGCTAAAGCCCAGAGGGAAAAAGGGACTTGCCCAAGGTCACACAGCAAATCCATTTCAGATCTTGGATTTCAATTTAGGTCTCCCAGTTGAGTACTCTCCAGGTTGCGCCAAATGTTGCTTTTTTTGGAGCTCTCCCAACCTTGGGGACTCTCCATTCCATCCTCAGGCCTCCTCCTCCCCTCCAGGACACTCACCAGGATGATGCCAGCCTGTGCAGTGGCCAGTTGCATCAACACCCATTCGTAAGAGTTAGGGCCCCACATGCCAAGGCGGTCCCCCTTGCTGAGGCCAAGGCTCAAAAGCCCTAAGGCAGCCACGTCCACCTGAAACAGAGAAGGTACCAGCTGATTGCAGAGACAGGACCTAGCCTTACTCTCTCCACTCAAACCAACTGGTCCTTTGCACTTCATCTTTGATGCTTATACCTACCCTCAGAAGCCTGCTGGTAAATATTTAACAACTGACTCTCCAGGAAAAACAATGTACCCGTGACATACTTTAGCTTTAATCTTCATTATTAACATTTTCTCTATAGCTCTCTTAAGTTTAGACAGTCAACAAAATAATAAATCAAGCCATGTTTTATAGCATTCACCAAATTCTGAGGTATAAATGCTCATACTGAAAATTTAATAATCGAGTTTGAGTTGACTCCAGCATACCCCTGCTTTCCCATCCCCACTTTACCGTGACCTGGGATGGAGGGAGGGCAAGTAGTGGAGGAACTTGGGGTTCACAAGAAGTTCCTGGAGTGTGTTACCCATTCCAACCCCCTCCCCCGACTATTAAATCCCTAGCCATAGCCAAGTCAACCATAGCCCTGGGCTGAGATTCAAGGATCATAGATCAGAGCTTACCTCCTGCTTAAACTGAGCAAATGTCTTCCGGATGTTCTGGTATGAGACAACTATGGCTTCTCGGTCTGGAAACCTCTGGGCTATGTCATCTAAGCACTGCCCCACTGTCTTAGAGCTGAGCTTAATGTTCGTGGGCCCCTTAAGGTAGCTGAGTTTGCCAGTGGATGATGAGATATGGCTCCTAACGTCTGTAGAACTTCAAAGAGAAAGTTAGTTTATTGGGACCAAGATCACCTGGCCTGACTCCCTTACCCAGTTGCCTCACCCAGCTTCTTTGGCCATCTTTCCTACTCCAAGACAGCCAGAGTAGATTTAGTACTACACAAACCACTAGGGTAAGCCACCCTTTCCCCCACTTTCTGCTGAGCTTCACCCCCCCCACACACACATACTTCCTGTATAGCAGGAGGGAAGGATCCTTGTGATCCCTGATATTATACCTGGAACAGGATGAGATGGAGAATGGGAAAGAGGCTAGATTATATCCTTAAGATATCCTCCCTTTCCTGACTCTTGAGGAAAAGAGAAGTGATAATGCCAAGCTGGGAAGGAGCAGAGTGTCCTGGACACAAAACAGGAAATGTAAATACAAAGGACAATAACAAATAAAGAGCAAATATATTTATTGAAGCAAGAAGCAACACAGTCACTGAGGAAGTGATACAGACTAGTTTAGGTGATAGAATACAACAGAGATAGAAAGGCTCTGGTTCCTGAGTGAGACAAAATCTCAGCTTACCCAAGGAGAGAATGATCTTACTATAGAAGGTCACTTTTAGAAATCTTTGTGGGTACAGGTACTAGCAATCAAAGGGCTTGTTGGGGTGCCAGATTTCCTCACATGCCTGTGGCTCTTGGGTCCTCTGTCGGCCATTCAAATCTGTCCTGCACTCTCTCTCTCTCTCTCTCTCTCTCTCTTCCCTTTCAGCTTCCTCTCCCAAGAGTTTCTCCAACAATCAGGAGTACGTCTCCTTCATCATACCCAACATACAATCTCACTGGTTTATCTTTTAGGGAACTGCCCAACTCCCTCTGGGTGGATGCCATATTCACTGTCAGTGATGTCCTGTCAAAAGATCCTGTATTATGCCTATCAATCGGGGAATGGCTGAACAAGTTATGGTGTAAGATTGTGGTAGGAGACTATTGTGCTATAAGAAATGACAAAGTAAGATGATTTCAGAAAAACCTAGGAAGTCTATATGAACTGAAGCAAAGTGAAGTGAGCAGAACCAGGAAACCACTGTACACAGTAATGGCAATATTGTAATGATGATCAGCTGTGAAAGACTTAGCTACTCTGATAAAGACAATGATCCAAGACAATTCCAAAGAACTCATGATAAAAAATGTTCTCCACCTCCAGATAGAGAACTGATGAACTCGGAGTGCAGATTGAATTATACTTTTTTCACTTTCTTTATTTTTTCTTATTTGTGTGTGTGTGCTTTCTGTTGCAACATGGCTAATATGGAAATGTGCTTTGCATGACTTTACATGTATAACTGATAATATATTGCTTGCTTTCTCAAGGAGTGGGAGGGAGGGATAGAATTTGGAGCTCAACATTTTAAAAAAATGAATGCTAAATTTTTTTTTTAATGTAATGGATGGGGCAGGGCCAACATGGCAGAATAGAGGCAGCAACCCTACAGAACTCTCCTAACATTTCCCTCCAAAAAAACTCTAAAATAATGCCTCAAATCAAATTTTGGAGAGTAGAGTCAATAAAAGGTCACAGTGAAGCATTTTTCAAGCCTAAGACACCTTAGGAGATTAGCAGGACAGATCTGTAACACTGGGGTGGGGGCTGCCCAGAGTGCATGCAGCAGCAGTACCACCAGTGGTGGGCCTTGGAGGCTGTCATATCAGCTGTAGCAGCAACTTCAGGAGCTCTCAGCCCAGAAATGGTAAGGGAACAGCAAACAGTAAGGACAACTCGTCAGAAAGAGATTACAAGGGACCCTTTGCTGGCACTGGGTGCAGCTGATGCTGATTGGCACCTCTACTGCCCATATGCAGTTCTGGGTTGCAGTTACAGGATGGAGAGGAGTGCTTGTGATCAGTCACAAGGAAACAGGGACATTGATCACAATTCCAAAGCACAGAGAAGCACTAGAACTTGTGACTGAAGGGGAGCAGGGACCCCTCCTGAAACTTGATTCACCTCTAGGTGAGCAGAGTTCAATTTTAACATAAATTCCAAACTTAAGAAATAGGCTGGAAAACTAACAAATAACAAAAAAAGAGAGAACTTGAACATAATAAGTAACTACAGTGGCAGGGCAGACCAAGACACAATCTCAGAAGACAACAAGATGAAAGCTACAAACAAAGCCCCAAAGAAAAAAATGCAAATTGGACATGAGCCCAACAAGAACTCCTAGAAGAGTTAAAGAAAGAGATAAGAGTGGTAGAGGAAAAATTGGGAAAAGAAACAAGAGTGATGCAAGAAAATTACAAAAAGAGAATTAACATCTTGGTAAAAGAGACACAAAAAGTACTGCAGAAAATAACACTTTAAAAAACAGAATAGGCCAAAAAGCAACAACAACAACAGAATAGGTCATATGAAAAAGGAGACACAAAAGGTCACTGAAAAAAATAATTCCTTAAAATAGAATTGGGCAAGAGGAAGCTAATGATTTCTATGAGACATCAAGAAACAATAAAACAAAGTGAAAAGAATGAAAGAGGATGATTAGCCACTGAGGAGGACTCATTCAGTGAACCTTAAAAACGAAACAACCAGGGCAACTTAGCACCTATTTTATGGGATGGCCTCATAGCTGATCCTTATTTGTGTTTCATGGGATTCAAAGCCCTATTAGACACATATTTTATAAATGTGACCTCCCATCTCAGAGCCTTTGCAAAGGCTGACTGTCCTCATACATGGAATGTGCCATGCTCTCCTTCTTTACCTTTGGAATCCTTAGCTCCATTCAAAACTTATCTCAAGTAGGTTTTAGTGCCTTTGTTGTTCAGTTGTGTCTGACTCTTCATGACCCCATTTCTTGGCAAAAATGCTGGAGTGGTTTGCCATCTTCCAGTTCATTTTACAGATTTAATCTACTTACATTACCTCTGGCACTCTCTGGTAGAGACAAACCCTTGGTCTTATTTTGTTTGTTTTCATTTTTTCATTTCTAACTATCCTTTACCTGTAGCTGCTCAGGCTCTAGCATGAAGGGATCTTTGTGCCAGGGCTCATTAATGCAGGTGCAGCTGAGCAAAGAGAGTATATAGCTAGCATATTAAAAGCACACAATCATTGGCTCATTCATTTATAGTTTGAATAGATCTTAAAGCCATGGAGGGGTTTATTGGTAAATGTTTAACAACCAGCTCTTGGGGGGGGTGGAGTATATAAGACACATTTTTAAGTTTAATTTGAATTGTTGACATTTTCTCCATCTAAAAACAAACAAACCAAAAAAAAAAAAACCCCATAGATTTCTGAACTGGAAGGGGCCTCTTGTCTAACCCCATCATTTTATAGAAGAGGAAACTGAGACCCAGGGGAATTAAGTGACTGGTCCAAAGTCATATAAGTAGTGGTAAAACTCAAAGTCTACACAGCTGATATAAGTCAGCTCTCCTGACTATAGTGCCAAGTGTTCTTTTTACTCCACTCTCCTGTTTTACCACTTATGAGCCTTAATCCCCAAGAAAGTCCTTTCTACCCTTGAAATGTTCAGCCTTTTGGGAGAGGTCATCTGACAGATCTATTAGAATCTAGGGGCAAAATGAAACTACAGAAAAAATGCATCAATTACCTCCTGAAAGAAACCCCAAACTGAGATCATTTAGGAATATCATAGCCAAAATCCAGAGCTTACAAGTCAAAGAAAAATGCTGCAAAAAAACCAAAAAAGTCAAAAGGAGTTCAAGGACCAAGGGATCATAATCAGGATCACACAAGATTATGCTGCAAGTATAATAAAGGAGAAAAAAATCTTGGATTTTTCTTGGAATTTTTTGCCACAAAATCCTATAACCCTTTTGGCAGCTCACCTACTCCTGGAGAAAGGATTCAAACTTAAAAGGAGATTAAATAATATAATCCTAAAAATATGTGGGTCAAACAGCAAATTAGAAAAACAATAGATAATTTCATTTTTTTAAAAATGAAAACAATGAAACAATATACCAAAACATTTGGATTGCAGTCAAATCAGTACTTGAGGGAAATTTTTATGTTTTTTAAGACTTTCATCAACAAGAGAAAAAGAGGGAGACAAAGCCAGAGAGACAGAAACAGTGAGATCATTGAGATTCAGAGAAAACATCAATGAATTGTGCATACAACAACTCAAAAAACCTAGTAAAACAAGAAATAAAAAACCCTAGCTAAATAAAAAAAATCAATTCAGAAAAATCAAAGATTTAAAATGGAAAGAAAAGGCAAATGAATTAATAAAACTAGGTGACTTTTTTGAAGGAAAATGAATAAAATAGATAAACCTTTAGTTAATTGGATTTTTTAAAAATTGAGAGGAAACTAAATTACCATGCTTAAGAATTAAAAGGAGAATTCACAACAAGTGAATCATAAAGGAAATTATTAGAAATAATTTTGCTCAATTATAGGTCAGGACAAATGATAGATGAAATAGATCAATACTTATGAAAATATAAGGGCAGAGGATCATAAAACACTCAGATAAAAAGAATAAGAAACAAAGAAACTGAATAACCCAATCACAGGAAAAAAACACCCAGAGGACCAGATGAATTTATGACTGAATTCTATTAAACATTCAATGAATAATTAATTACATTGCCACATAAATCATTTGCAAAAAATAGAGAAAATGACCCTATTAAACTCCTTTTATGAGACAAATATAGGGACTAGGAAAGTAGAGAAAGAAAATTTTAGATAAATATCTCTAAACTAAGAAGAAACAAGTCAGAAATGAAGAACAGATAGAGGAAATGACAAATATTTCTAATGAATACAGTTGCAAAAATATTGAATAAAAATATTAGCAATAAAGCCACCACAACATGTCAAAAAGACTACATGCTATGACATGGTTGACTTTATACAGGGATGATGCATCATTGGTCCAATATTTTAAAAAAAAACTGTCAACATAAAAAATCGTATTTTAAAAAATCAAAATATACCAATAGATTTAGAAAAAGAATAAAACATGACACCCATTTATTTAAAAAAACACTAAAAAA